TGCATACTCTGGGAGATTTTGGAAGCTAGATATATATTTGGGTAATAAAAAAAATACTATTTCGGGCTTCCCTGGTGGCGTAGTGTTAAGAATCTGCCTGCTAATTCAGGGGACACGGGTTTGAGCCCTGATCCGGGAAGATCCCATATGCTGTGGAGCACCTAAGCCCGTGCACCACAACTACTGAGCCCATGAGCCACAACTACTGAGCCTGCGCACCACAACTACTGAAGCCTGTGCGCCTAGAGCCTGTGCTCCGCAACAAGAGAAGCCACCGCAATGAAAAGCCTGTGAACCGCAACGAAGAGTAGCCCCCGCTTGCCGCAACTAGAGAAAAGCCCGCGCACAGCAATGAAGACCCAATGCAGCCAAAAATAAATAAGTAAAATAAATAAATTTAAACCACAGTAATCTATAAAAACAAAACAAAACACTTTCCCATTAAAAGACTTTAGGGAGTGATGGGTGTAGGAGGCATTTTTTGGTGAGAATGGAAAAAAAAAAGCATCCCTCCAGAACCTTCTGTTTTCACATGTAAGGATATCGCTGACAAAAGGCGCGTGGGGTCCTACCCATTTCCTGGAAGTACAAGTGCATGATCACAGGTTCTTTTTGGAGATTGTCTCCTTGTTGATGTTGCTTATTCTAATGGACTGCTTTTGCCTACTGCCTTGGTTTGAGTTGCTCCAGTTGCAGACCCTACTGTGAGAATTTGCGTGCAAGTAATTCATTTGGGAAGTAATCCTGAGAAATGCTGATAGTGGGGTATGAAAGTGAGAAAGAGAAGGGATAGAAATAAATATGTGGTGTGTTAGCAAGTCAGTTACTTCTAAGGGTAACTGGGACTCAGTCCCTCTGGACAACCCTGAATGAATGAATGAACATACGCATGAGTGACAGTAATTGCCTCTTTGAGTGGTTTCAGGTAAATCAAGGAAGGGGGCTGAGTCCCAGAACTGGATCAGCACAGAATGGGAGAAGACAAGGAACCAAGAGAAGAGAATGGCTGTAGGAGTTCAAATGCACGTAGGATTAGGAATTCAGTGGCGGCAGGAACTCAGAGAGTGTGGGGAGAGATGACCTTGAGAAGATACGATGGAGGAGCTAGCCCATCAGAAGTTAAACAGAACTCGTTTAACCTCTCACAGAACCTGGGATGGGGGCTGGATTCAATTTTACATAATCTTGAACGACAATCCTCAGCAGACACCCAGATGGGAGCTACACAGGAGCAGCCGTGTATCTACCATTCATCCTGGCTTCTTCCTCATGGTGTCAACTTAAGCAGATCTATTTACCCCATGTTGTAGCCTGGATAATGGCCCCAGAGATATCCATCTCCTAATCTCTGGAACCTGCGAATGTTACCTCACGTGGTGAAAGGCATTTTGCTGATGTGATTAAATGAAGGATCTTGAGCTAAGGGAGATTATCCTGGAGTATTCAGCGGGCTCGAAGTGATCACACAGGTCCTTATAAGAGGGAGGCAGGAGGATCAGAATCAGAGAGAAGAAGGTGATGTGACCAGGGAAGCAGAGACTGGGGTGAAGCGGGGGGCAGCCAAGGAGTGCTGGCATCTTGTAGAAGCTGGAAGAGGCAAGGAATGCATTAATCCCTGGAGCCTCCAGAAGGAACCAGGCCCGCTGACATGTTGGTTTTAGCCCCTCAGACTCATTTCAGGCTTCTGACTCCCAGAAATACACAAGAATACATTTGTATTGTTTTAGGAAACCAAGTTTGTGATAATTTGTTACGGTAACAATAGGAAACTAATGTAATGCTCCTCTCAAGTTCCTCATCCGTCAGGTGGAGCCTCCTGCGAACTTAGATGACCTCCGTGGCCCCATCTAACTCTCTTTCTCATTCCACAGTCATTATCCTGGCTTTCTTTGGGGCTAGACAGAATAAGTATCTATGTTTTTTTCTTCCTTTTTTTTTTTTTTTTGCGGTACGCGGGCCTCTCACTGTTGTGGCCTCTCCCGTTGCGGAGCACAGGCTCCAGACGCGCAGGCTCAGCATGGCTCACGGGCCCAGCAGCTCCACGGCATGTGGGATCTTCCCGGACCAGGGCACGAACCCGCGTCACCTGCATGGGCAGGCGGACTCTCAACCACTGCGCCACCAGGGAAGCGCTTGATTTTTTGTTTGTTTGTTTTGTAGTGCATTCTTTTTTAAGCCCTACTCCTCCCTGCGTTTGACAGCCCATTGAGCCGAGATGACTCGGTAGTCCTGCTCAGTGTCCCCTGGCAACCTCTGCCTGGGTTCAGTAAAAACTGCTTTAGCCACAATGTCATCTATCCCTCACAATGTAGATGGTTCTTCTGGATAGACTTTTTATAAATATTTTATTGCAAAATAAAACACAGACATTGCAGACCACACAAATCAAATGTATGGCTTAACGAATTATTATAAAACAAGTGCTCCCCAGGTCAAAAACTAGAACTTCCCCAGTCACCCCAGAAGCCTCTTTTAACATGCCCCATCCCCTTCCCATTCCCATCCCAACTCCCTTCTTCCCCTAGGTAAGCGTTATATGGAGAGAATTGTGGGTCTTGTTATTTCTGCCAAGTTTTGGCTAATTTGATCACAGAATCTTCATACCCATCGTTGCCCTGTCCTGGGATGCTCGCCCCCTGTAACTGCAAATCACTGTTAGCACTCACCCCCAAGGAAGCTGTTCCAGATTGCCCTTTCCTCTGTGTTGAATGCCCACTGTGTGTGTTGAGCACTGAGGGGTCCCAGAGAGTAGTGTACCCTATCCTGCTCCCTCTCTGTGTTGCATGACTAATTACTTACATTTTGCTTATTTGATTTTTCCCCTTTGTCAGTTTTGTCCCCATATTTCTCCCCGTCCTGACTATGTTGTAGATTCTTTCGAAGTAGAAACCAAACCTGCTGCTCGTGCATTCCAGACCTTTGCCACTCAGAGGGTGGGCCGAATACCAGCACTGGCATCACCTGGGAGCTGGTTAGACATGCGGAAAATTGCGCCCCACACCAGGCCTACTGAATTGAAATCTGCATCTTATAAGATCCCCAGGTGGTTCTTGTGCACGTTCCAAGTTGAGGAGAACTGTCCCGGAGCAGTGGTTTCTCAAGCTTGGCTGCACGTTGGAATCAGGTTGGGGGTCTTCCAAAAACACTCGGGGAGGGATTCTCTGGTGGCGCAGTGGTTGAGAGTCCGCCTGCCGATGCAGGGGACACAGGTTCGTGCCCCGGTCCGGGAAGATCCCACGTGCCGCGAAGCGGCTGGGCCCGTGAGCCATGGCCACTGAGCCTGCGCGTCCGGAGCCTGTTGCTCCGTAACGGGAGAGGCCACAACAGTGAGAGGCCGGCGTACGGCAAAAAAAAAAAAAGTGAATGTCATAATAAAGTTAATCCCACAATTTTTTTTGGTTCCCAGTGCATATAAAAGTTATGCTTACACCATACTGTAGTCTAAGGTGCAATAGCATTATGTCTAAAAAGCAATGTACATATCTCAAAAGATACTTTATTGCTAAAAAGTTCTAGCTGTCATCTGAGCCTTCAGCAAAGCATAATCTTTTTGCTGGTGGAGCATTTTGCCTTGATGTTGATGGCTGCTGACTGATCAGGGTGATGGTTGCTGAAGGCTGGGGTGGTTGTAGCAGTTTCTTAAAATAAGACAACAATGAGGTTTACTGCACGGATTGACTCTTCCTTTCACAAATGATTTCTCTGTAGCATGAAATGCCATTGGATAGCATTTTACCCACAGTAGAACTTCTTTCAAAATTGGAGTCAGTCCTCTCAAACCCTGCTGCTGCTTTATCAACTAAGTTGATGTCATATTCAAAACTTTTGTTGTCAACAATCTTCATATCTTCACCAGGAGTAGATTCCATTCCACTTCTTTGCTCATCCAAAAGAAGCAAATCTTCATCCGTTAAAGTTTTATCATGAGGTTGCAGCAATTCTGTCACATCTTTGGTCTCCACTTCTAGTTCTCTTGCTGTTTCTACTACATCTGCAGTTGCTTCTGCCACTGAAGTCTTGAACCCCTCCAAGCCATCCTTGAGGGTTGGAATTGACTTCTTCCAAGCTCCTATTAATGTTGTATTTTGACCTCTTCTCATAAGTCACAAATGTTATTAATGACACCTAGAATGGTGAATCCTTTCCAGAAGGTTTTCAATGGACTTTGCCCATATCCATCAGAGGAATCACTGTCTATGGCAGCTATAACCTTACGAAATGTATTTCTGAAATAATAAGGCTTGAAATTACCCACTGATCCATGGGTTACAGAATGGACATTGTGTTAGCAGGCATGAAAACAACATGAATTGCATTGTACATCTCCATCAGGGCTCTTGGGTGACCAGGTGTATTGTCAATGAGCAGTAATATCTTGAGAGGAATCTTTTATTCTGAGTAGTAGATCTCAACAGTGGGCTTAAAATATTCAGTAAACCATGTTGTAAACAGATGTGCTGTTATCCAGGCTTTGTTGTTCCATTTATAGAGCACAGACAGAGTAGATTTAGCATAATTGTTAAGGGCCCTAGGATTCTAAGAATGGTGAATGAGCATTGGCTTCAGTTTAAAGTCACCAGCTGCATTGGCCCCTAACAAGAGTCAGCCTGTTTTTGAAGCTTTGAGGCCAGGCATTGACTTCTCCTCTATAGCTATGGAAGTCCTAGATGGTTTCTTCTTCCAATAGGAGGCTGTTTCATCTACATTGAACATCTGTTATTTAGTGTAGCCACCTTCATTACTTATTTTAGCTAGTCTTCTGGGTAACTGGTTGCAGCTTCAGCACTTGCTGCTTTACCTTGTACTTTTATATTATGGAGATGGTTTCTTTTCTTGAACATGATGAACCATCCTTTGCTGGCTTCAAACTTTTCTTATTCAGCTTCCTCATCTCTCTCAGCCTTCACTGCACTGAAGAGAGTTAGGGCCTTTTTCTGGATGGGGCTTTGGCTTAAGGGAATGTTGTGTTTGGTTTGATTTTCTCTCCAGACCACTAAAACTTTTTCATATCAGCAGTAAGGCTGTTTTGCTTTCTTATCATTCATGTGTTCACTGGAGCAACACTGTTAAGTTCCTTCAAGAACTTTTCCTTTTCATTTGCGACAAGGCTAACTATTTAGGGCAAGAGGCCTATCTCCACTTTTGACACGCCTTCCTCACTAAGCTTAGTCACTTCTAGTTTTTGCCTTAAAGTGAGAGAGGTGTGAATCTTCCTTTTACCTGAACACTTATATGCCAATGTAGGGTTATTATTTTATTTCCAATGTAGGGTTATTAAGTGGCCTAACGGCTGGTGGTGGAGCAGTCAGTACACACACAATATTTATCGATTAAGTTCACCATCTTATATGGGCACGGTTTGTGGAGCCCCAAAACAATTACAATAGTAACATCAAAGATCACTGACCACAGATCATAACAAATATAATAATAATTTTAAAAGTTTGAAATATCGTGAGAATTACCAAAATGTGAGATGCATAGTGAGCAAATGCTTTTGGAAAAAATGATGTCAATAAACTTGCTGGATGTGGGGTTGCCTCAAACCTTCAATTTGTTAAAAAATGCAATCTGCAACGTATAGTAAAGCAAAGCACAATAAAAGAAGGCATGCCTATACCGAAGATGTAAAAGGGAATAAATAGCAAAAAAAAGACACCACTCAATTTGTGGTCTTTCAGTAGTCAGGTTACATGTTCATGTGCTCTTACCCAAACGTGACTTTCTAAAGTGTCCTGGTGGAAGCCCCCTGATTTAAGAATTTGAGATTTCACAAAATTCACAAAAGTTCCTAAATCCTTAAATGTACTAACAAGTTCCAGTAAAAAACAGTGGAATAGGCTTAAAATTGTGACTCAGTTTAATTCTATGTCATATTCTTTCTAACCATTATTCATGAACATTGTACTCCTGATGACCATATTAAAGTTTCCAAGTAACTTTAAAGTATTATTAAAGACCCCATGTACTTTGTCTTTCCGTGGTTTCTCTTCTGCAATGGGCAAAATTTAAGGTTAGGATGTCTACCTCTACTCAAGTCTTCCCATCTCCCCCACTTAATTTTACTTTTTTAAAAGTAGACTTTATTTTTTCAGACAATTTTAGATTGCAGAAAAACTGAGAAGATAGTATAGAAAGTTGCAATATACTCTGCATCCAGTTTCCCCTATTATTGACATCTTATGTTAGTATGGTACATTGCTTCAATTAATGAATTATAATTGATACATTATTATTACTGAGGCCCCAATTGTTCAGATGTTTTAAATTTTAACCTAATGTTCTTTTTCTGTTCCAGCATCCCATCCAGGATATTTTACATTTAATTGTCATGTCTCCCTAGGCTCCTCTTGGCTGTGACAGTTAAGGTTCCCTTTTCATAATAATTATCATATTACTGTAAGTTATTTGGTACTATTCACTGTTGTGATCATGAAATAGAATGCATAGTTAGTCCCTACACACATAGTTTAAACATCAGTATAATGACCTAACTATTGATATAATGAAGGAGTAAAACAATAAATATTTAATATGTAGTTGCTTTTATAAATGCTCAGATCTGCATCAGAAATCATAAAAGTCAGATACTTGTACCCATTTATAATTCAAGAGCAATAAGACAAGACTCTGGAATATTACTGACACTTTATTTTTGACATTTTGAAGTAAGAGCTAAATAAAAAAATACTCATATACACATTTGGAATTACTGGGCCTGTGACAGTTATACATTTGACAGGTGCTGGTGTATTGATTGCCATGAGTGGAACTGGTGTCACTGTCTTGATTTTCCAAAACGGTGAACAAAGTACAACCTTGCCTAGATTTATGCAGTAGTTGCATTTACAGAAAATCCAGTGTGTACTCAAATGGTGCAAAAAAATATTTTGTCTATATGGAAAACAGAGTTAAAGTTCTAATGTAATTAGAAGCACATTTTAACCGCCCCAGATGTCCAGTCTGACACACAAACAACCCCTGTGCTGCAAAATCCTGCCCTGGAGGCACTTCCTGCGTCCTCCTCCATCTCGCGTTAAACGCCACTGCCCCCTCCTCATCATTGCGAGAACCAATCAAAGCACATGCAAATTTCCAAAACGCCCCCTAGGGGGCGGTACTGCTGTGGGCTGAGGTGCTAGACGGCTTAACAGGGGACTTGCCTTGATTTCTTCCTTTGTAAAATGAGGATAGCAGTAGTTAAGGGATGGAGACAGTGCACGTGAAAAACACTTAGCAAGGTGTCTAGCACACAGTACGTCCTCCAGAATGTAATATAATATCTCCCAGTCAATCAGCAGAGATTGGGGGAACACTGTGTTCCCCCCAGATAGATGCGGGTGAGTGAAGATGGGAATCAGGCAAGCACCACATTCCCTGCCTCCAACATGAAATAAGGAGTGAATTATTAAACACAGCTCACAAAAAGGAGAGCCCGGGGAGAGCTGGAGTCAGAGAAATCTTTCTGGAGGAGAGATTGGCTTATTGAGCCAGGGCAGCTGGGTACTTGAAGGAAAATATATTTATCTCATGAATAATAAATAACTCCTAAACCCTTACGTCTCAGAGCGTGGTCTTCAGACTAGCGGCATCAGCAGTGCCTGGAGGTTTGTTAGAAATCTTAGCTGTTACCCTAGACCCACAGAGTTAGAATCTGCATTTTAACAAGAATCCCAGGTGTTCAACTGCACATTCACTGTTGCGATGTGCTGGCCTAGAGAACCAACTGAGGAACTAGAGGAAAGAACAATAATACTTTATCCTTTGAGAGAACACAGACCTTGGGTGCTTGTGTGAGAGGAATAGAGAGAGTGAGAGAAAAGTTCAGATTGTGGAGGGTAGTAAGGTAGTGAGAATCTCAAAGGTGGTCCTAGAGCAATCAATCTATATCAGAATGTGTGTTATTCAAATGAAGATTCTCTGCCAGATCCCAGATTTACTGAATCAGAATCTCAAAGAACAAGGAATCAGCATTTAAATAAATAAAAAAAAAAGCTTCCCCAGATGATTTAAGAATGGGGAGGGACTAACACACCATTGTAAAGCAATTATACTCCAATAAAAACGTTAAAAAAAAAAAGAATGGGAAGGGAGCTTTAGAAAATACCCACATTATCACCTGTGATATTAGAATCTCTAGCAGCAGGTGAGTCCTGGGTATTTTTGTTTGTAAGCTCCCCAGGTGATTCTTATGTTTGAGAGCCATTGATGGATTAAATGCGAAAACCTGGAGGAAAACAGTCTGGGTGGGAGAGAGTAACAGAGGTGTGTGTGTTGGGGTGTCTGCAAGTACCCGAAGTCTGTCTACCTCAGAAGAGAGAAGCAAGACCAGTGGGTAAAAATTTTCGTTGTTTTTTTGTCCAAAGAATCATAGCGTTTTTCTTTGCTTTTTTTCCCCTTCCTTTCCTCCCTCCCTTCCTAGCAAGAAGGGGCCTTTGAAACGCCCTAGTCCCAACTCTTTCCGTTTGTAGTTAGATGAGTGGTCCGAAAGGTAACGTGAGCTGGCCAAGGTCAACTCAGATATTCTCATTCCAACCCTACAACAGCAACAAAATAAAATGAGACCCTCTTCCCAGTGCTAGTGCTGTTTCCACTGCACGACAAAGGCATTTAAATCCCGCTCCGGTTTCCATCGCAGGCAAAGCGAGAATGAGAAAGGAAACTGGTTACTCTTCAGAAAACGGGGTGCCGTTCCCCACAGTAGGCAGGCTTTAAACGAGGAATTGGCATTTTAGAGAACTCATTAAATCTGAAGACTGATTATACATAGGAAGGTGAAATCTAGGTTCGTGAATTTGAATGTTGCTATTACATTCAAGCTGAATCTGACAAATGGCTGATCCCCCCTCGGCACCTCTCCGAGCTACACCGCCGGGCGTGGGTCCCGGAGTAGACGAATTCGCCGCCTCGCTGCGGAGATGAGCCCGACGGCGCAAAGGGACGACCTCCGCGCGCTCAGAGGTGGGGACAGTTGGTCGCGCCAAGAAAGCCAGGGGAGGGCTTCTTGTAGGAGGGAGGCTTCCATCTGAGGCCTGAAGTACGGGCAAGACTCGGCTACTCAGAGGGGAAGGAGAGAGCCGGCTGGGACCAAGGCCCAGGGGCAGTCGCAAGGAGGGCGGGGTGGGGTCCAAACATCTTCTAGAACGCCCTGTGGTCCTAAGATACCCGGCCCCCTTAAGTTGGCGCTGGAGGGCAATCAAAGCTCCTAGAAGAAGGCCCGACACGGATGGGCTTGGGGGCAGGTGAACCTCGTTTTCCCGGGATGGGCGGTGAGGATGGCAGCCCAGGCAGGAGACCCTCCATAGTCTCTGAAGCCTGTGCGACTCCAGAGGAGAAAGATGCCAAATTAGGGCGCTGATGGCTTTTCTACCCAAGCGCGGCCGCAGGCTTCTAGGACGGTAAAGGAGTGGGGTCCGGGGTCGGGGGCGGTCTCCTCTGGTCACCATCCCGCGGCACGAGTGGGGCAGGTCTCCTGTCACACCCTCACCAGGCCCTGCCCCGGCCGCCTGCTAGTCACGGCTCTCCCAGTCGTCCTCCCACACCGCCGAGCCTCCGGGTATCAGGCCTGGCCGCATCCCTCCCTTCCCACCGGCCTCGGAGCGCCGGCTCCGGCGCCCGTGCCTCGGGGCGGGTCCCTGCCGCACGCACCTGCCCCCGGGGGCGGAGCGCGGCGCCGACGACTGGGCTCCAGGCTCTGCCACCCGCCACGCGAGCCGCGCCGCGCCCGCACCCCCCGCCCCCTGCCACCGCCGCACCTCCATTCCGCGGCGCCCGCCCTCCCTCTCCGCGCGGTCGGTGCGTCCCTCCGCCTGTTCCCAGCCGCTGCGCCTCGCACTTCTGACTCGAGTACCCGCCGCGCTCGTCGTCGCCGCCCCGCGCCATGGAGCCGGCCGCGGGCAGCGAGCGCCGCAGCCCCCCGGGCCCTGCCGTCCCGCCACCGCCCCGGGTCCACGCGCCCTTGGCCGCCGCCCCCGGCCCGGGCCCGCTGAGCTCCCCCGCGCACGAGCCGCCGCAGCCCGAGGAGGAGCGGCAGCTGCGGATCAGCGAGAGCGGCCAGTTCAGCGACGGGCTGGAGGATCGAGGTGAGCGCGCGCCGCACCGGGTCCCTTCCCCCGGCCCGGCCCCTTCCTCCCGCCGGGCGGGCGCGTTGAGGAGCCGCTGCTCCAGGCCCGCCTCTCCCCGCTGGCGGGTGGGGCCGGACGCGGGGCTTGGCTCCTTGGCGCGCGCGGGGGCGCGGAGCCGGGACTTCCCGCGAAGGCGCGGAGAGCAGAGGGCGGCAGCCCCACCTCCCTCGGCCGGCGCCGCCGGGGCCGCGGAGCCTTCGCCGGAACCCGCGAACCGTGCTGCCTCCTGGGCGACCCCGCCGGGGCCCGCGTCCTCCTCTCGGCCAGCCCTGGTCCCTCCGGCGCCCACTGGAAAAGTTTGCGGGAGGCGTGTGCGTGTGTCTGTGTGTGTGTGTCTGTATGTGTGTGTGTGTCTGTGTGTGTGATTTTTTTTTTTTTTTCCTTTTCTTTCGGAGCCGAGCGCTCCCGGGGACTACGGGTCCTGCTCAGTTGGGAGGGTCCTGAGCTCTGTGCATCATCCTTCCCCAGCCCCCTGCGGCCCCCGCCGGCTCCCCGGGAGAACTTCCCTCTGCGGATTTAGCCTCGAGGAGTCCCTCGGCGACCGCCCCGGCGAACGGGAGTCGGGTGACTCCCGACTCTCATTTACAGGGGACCCAGTTTACCGTGGGTCACTGCCCCGCTGTCTGCCGGTGGGGGGAGAGGCCTGGGATACTTGGATTTGGGCCACCAATCCTGGATGGATGCCACTGGAACGTGATGGTTCCCGGAGCGCCCATCCCTAGCCCCTTCAGAATCCTTCCCAAGACACTGGCCTGGAAGCCCGCAAACGTCCCTTTCTGGGGAGGCCAAACCCGACCCTCTGACGGACAGCTGATGCCCCCTTTGAGTTGCCTGTAAGAAATGGGAGAGTACCCTGTTCATTCCCGTGTCTCTCTACATTCCTCTTTTTCTCCCTCTCTCGTTTCCTTTTGCCTCAGAGGGAGCCCTCTTCGTAGCCACGTCTATACCTTCTCTGCTTCTTGCTGAATCGAAATCCAAATCGGCCCCCTCAGAAAGACTCCGTGGCTTTCCTAAACCCGGTTAGTGGCCGAAACGGGATTCTGACAGCCGGCCCTTAACGGGGAGCCGGCTCGTCGCCACTTCCACCCCCTGTTCTTGGAAGCCTTATTTTGTTGGCTGCGGCGGATTTGTATATTTCAGTCTTCGCAGGTTTCTGTCCTATTCTTAGTATCTCCTGTACATTTTTATTCCGGTTTAGTGTTCGGATGCACGATCTCTTTCGTCTTAGAAATTTTAAATTGTAGCATGTGAAGCATGCAAACGGCAATTCCCAGAGAATCGGCAGGGATGCCCGGGTGAGAACTGGAGCCCCTCCAGGTGCAACGAGTTCCGCCCCTATGTTGCAGTTTCTCCTCCTGTTCTCACCTAACTCGACAATCATTTTCGAGCTGATGATGGGTGACATCACAAGCACCCAGTAAAACCTGTTATTTTTAGTGTAGGTCGTGTTAATTACCTTTCCCACTATAACTAGTGTTGTAGGATTTTAAAATTTTTGCATTGAAGAAACACCGAGCTCTGGGCTGGGCTTATTTTTGTAGCATTGCAGGTCATCTGTAAAAGCTGGCCTATTTCTCCCCACCTCACAAAATGATAGGAGGGAAAAAAGTGCTAGGGCCAGTTAATATTTAGTGTCATTTGGTAGCTCATGCTCAAGTGTAAAAAGCCCTTCTGAATTTATTCTTAAGGTTATTTTTCACTGGTCAACTGAATTTCATTTTCCATTATGTTATAGCATGAAAGCATTCACTGTTCATAAACTGTCACTGTGTGAAAGCGCTGCATGTCACACACTGCCTCTCTGTTAAGATGAACCCTGTCCCCCAAAGAACCCAGCGCCATGTGGCGTTGAAAGCTGAAAGTCAGTGTGCCATTCTTCTGTTTGACCCATTCCTGGCAGCAAAGAGTTAATGCTGAATGAGTCATTTTTATTAAATAAATCAGAAGCTTACCTAGGGAGGTTTCTTATAATATTTTGTGTGTGTGTTATTTTTTATTAACGGGGCTACATCTTTCCAATATCGATGTTTTGTATCCCTTGGGAACTGTTCCATTGCTGCTACCTTTTTCCTAATGGTGAGAGGATTTGGGGAGGAGGAAGCCTCAGCAGTTGCTTGATGTGTATCTCTACATCACGTCTGGCTTGCTTTCTTCGAGGCCTAAATACCTACCAATGGGTATGTGTGTTTGTGGTGGGTGGGCACCTGGATTTGTACCTATACTTGGCCTTCTCTCTTGCCCTAAATTCCTTCTGAGCTATCAGGACCCTGTGACAGGCTCCATTTAACTTTGATCAAAGGCTTGCTTTTTACACATCTAGTGTTTGGAGACTTGAGAGGTACTTTTTCCTTAGAAGTGATGTGGGCTGGTTCCCAGAACCCTAATGAGCTCATATTGTCAGCCAAATGACACTGCAGTTACTGAGCCTTGTAGTTCAGGGAGCAAGAGGTTTGTGGTCCAAGACCTTTAGGGACTAAAACAAAACATAGGCCAAGTTTGTCTTACGCATTTCCACGCCCTACCTTTTAATACCCACTCTTCTCCCCACAGGTGTTTTCCCATCATTCTGCCCCAAGCCTTAGGGCCCTGGAGCGTTACATGCTTCAGCATTTCCTACTACCTTCCCATCTAATGAATATACCCCTTCCTTCAGAGAATCCAAGCGGGACTAACCCATAGGAGAAAGCAATTGGAACTAATTCATACTAGCATGGAAATGACTGATGGCTTCAATCTCCCTGCATATGTTTGCATATCCTCCCCCCCCAAATAAGGTATCAGTCCTTCATTAATACAACCCTTATGCCAGGCCCAAATTACAAATAGGTGAAATTCAAGTGAGATTAAAAATTTGAATGTGGAGGCCAACTATGGGTAGGAAGGACCCAGCTCTGTGTGCACATTTGAGGCCTGCCTTGGCTTCTGTAGGCTGTGCTGCTTTTCTTCTACCTTTGACACACAGCTTCCCGAAAGCTTCAGGAATTCTCAGCGCATCTCTGTGTCTTGCACGTGTGCGTGCAGCTAGCACGGGGCGGAGGTAGTGGCACCTGTGTGCGGACCTTTCATTTATGAGCTGGGTCCTCATAGGTCATTATACCCCACTTCCTTTGAGGAGTGGGAAGTTTTCCATTCTTGGTATTAGCTCTATTTTTAGGAAGGAAAACTAGCAGGAAACAGAAGGTTGGATAGAAATGGGAAAGTTCTTCCCTTCTTGGACAGTCTTCCAATTTACTCCAGTGTTTAAAGTTTGAAGCATCTCATGGGGAAGCACATATAGGATCAGATCTGCGGAAGAACTACCAGTCCTGCTGATCAGAGGATTCACCTGCCACCTTGGCAGGGCAGTGCAGCCCAGGTGAGCTGGCATCCCAGACTCCCTCCAAGGGGAGTGCTGGCCCACTCTGGGGTGAGGCACATGATTGGTCTGTGCGGTCAGCTCCAGTCATGTTGTTGGAAACAGCTGGCTTTGGTAGGGAAAATAAATGTCATGTGTTGGAATTGAAAACCCAGATCCTTGTTGTTTCTCTTAGAAAATTAAATCTACTTCTAGAAGAAACCTCGTTTTTACCCCCAGTGGATAACCTCTCAAGATGGTTGCTGTCACAGTACCCAGCAAATGAACTGCTTATTTGAGGCAGTACTTAAATGTTACAGCTTCACTTCTCTTGAAAATCAACTGGCCAGGATGAAAGAAAGATTTCCATATCATTTGGGCAAAGGGAAATAAATTATCGGGAGTCACTGGGACCTGCTTATTCTAGGTTGTGGCTTTAACTGGAGTCAAGGGTGATCACAGCTGAAAATTAGAATGGGGTGTTTTTCAGCAGGTAGGGAAGCAGACAAAGGGACAGTTTGAAATCACTTGTACCCAGGGCACAATTTGATAAGAGAGAAGGTCTTTCTTTTTTCTGTCCAAGTGCATTTTTAAAGGAAGGTCTGGGGAGACTTTTACAGTGAGGTGATGGAGATGGAGTTTATTACCTACCTTTTGCAAATTCATCTACCTTTTGCTTGTAAATAAGTCTACAGGTTTCAATGATTAAAAAATCTGTGGGGCCTTCCCTGGTGGTGCAGTGGTTGAGAATCCGCCTGCCAGTGCAGGGGACACGGGTTCAAGCCCTGGTCCGGGAAGATCCCACGTGCCGCGGAGCAACTAAGCCCGTGCGCCACAACTACTGAGCCTGCGCTCTAGAGCCTGTGAGCCACAACTGCTGAGCCCTCGTGCCACAACTACTGAAGCCCGTACACCTAGAGCCCATGCTCCACAACAAGAGAAGCCACTGCAATGAGAAGCCTGTGCAGCACAATGAAGAGTAGCCCCCACTCACCACAACTAGAGAAAGCCCACGCGCAGCAACGAAGACCCAACACAGCCAAAAATAAAATAAAAAAAAATAAATTTATTAAAAAAAAAATCTGTGTCTGTACACTGGACTCAGTAAGCAGGCTTCTCCACATTTCCTGTTTATTTAGGCCCTCTTCAGGGTGCTTAAATCTGGGTAGTTAATGGAATTAGGAAGTTTTAACAGGGTCCTTGTTATAATTTTTGAGCAGGATGCAGTTTTTGGCAACCAGAGGCTTAATGTGGTACCCAGTCAGTCTAACGGAAAGATGCCTTTTCCACAATGCTTAGGTGTGATTTGTTGCACACTGTGCCTTATTTTACAGGTGGGTGCTTAAGCTCTGACTACCAATTCCTTCATCATTTGGAGCTGTTGTGATGAGGCTGCTCCACCTCTGAAAGGTATATTATGGGTTGTTTGGCCAGAGATGTTGTCCTGTTTATGTAGAATGCCGGGCTGAGAGTTTGGTTCTTCATGCAGCTAAGAGAGGCCGTATATGATCTCTTTACAAAGGAGAAGAAAAAATATAAATCAGGATCGTGCTGAAGATGTTTTAGTCTTCAACCCATGGCTGCTGAAGCTTGGGCATTGCCTCAGAGTCGTCCTGAATTTCTGTTACCGTTGAGGACTCTCAATGTTGAAAGCATAGGAGACGAAATCAAACCTTTCTTACACGTGACCCACCTGGGGAGCGACCTCCAGTTTTAGCAGGTTTACCCCGCTGCAATAGTGTGAGAATTTTTTGACATTTGACTGATATACAGGAATAGATACTATAGAGCAGAAAGAGAGGGAAGAAAACGTGGCATCTCATTTAGGCCTGGTGGCTGTTGGTTGTGGTTAAAGAGGAATGGCCCTCCTTCTGTTAACTGTTGAGGGGAGGCGTGGGGGCATTTGTATTCCACGACCCCAAAACCCGGTCCGCCAGTTAGGGCCATGCTGATGGAGCAATGCAAATCAGTGCCACGCTGAGGAGCCCAAATGCCCAACCAGATGTGGGCTACCTGTGCTCTTTTTCTAATGAAAAAGTCTCGTTAGAAGGAGCAGCACCTATGTGAGCCAGTGAGCCACAGGGGCGGGGGGATGGCTGGGGTCATATGTCAGGTCAGGGGGTGGTAGGGTACTTGAGAAAGAAGACAGCTGCCATTACCCTTGGGAACACGAGTCAAATATTGCCAGAGCCCGAGATCTTTCAAGAGAGGCCAGAAAGCTTGATTTCCGTGCGACGCTCCTAAATGTTAAAACACCTCTTGGATCACTGAATCACTTTGCCGTACACCTGAAACTAACACAGTGTTGTAAATCAACTATATTTCAATGGAAAAACCCCACATCTCGGCCGCGGGCTGTCAGTTTGCAATCCTTGGCTAAGAAAGAATAGCTCTAGTTGTGGGTTTCTTAATAAGGAAATGCCTAACTTCCTTTTCTCCTTGTTTTTGTCAGGCTTACTAGAAAGCAGCACTCGGCTAAAACCCCACGAAGCCCAGAACTACAGAAAGAAGGCGTTGTGGGTCTCCTGGTTCTCCATTATTGTCACACTGGCCCTGGCGGTGGCTGCCTTTAGTGAGTATCCAGCGTCTTGCTGAGCGATGTATGTGCCGGTGTTGCCTGTTTTATTCTCTGACTCCTATGGGATGTGCTTTTGCTTTTAGCCGACTGTCATTGATGAGTAAATTGTTTTCAATGGTTGCATAGTCAGGTTGCTTATAAATTAGCAAAATGGCTTCTCTCCTCTGCAGAGGCAAGAGGTGGTGAAGAAGAAGAAATAGAGAACGTGGCTGGGGGCTTTGGCTCTCATCAGTATGCGGGTTCGTGGTAGTAGATTCTGGCTGCCAGCTGAATAGTGAAAATATTCCCTTGGTGGATGCCTTCAGCCTGGGCTAGCGTGTGACAAATGTACGTCCTTGAGATTCGTATTTTGAGCCTCATGCCACCAGATGAGTGCAATCTCTCGCCCGATTATATCTGCGTAAGGTTTAGAATAAAATCATCCGTACGTTTTAATGAAAGGAGAATGGGAGGGTCCTCTCTCAAGTTTTCAGTGGCCACGGAAACAAAAATATTTATTATAATCAAGAGGAACGAAGACAACTGAACACTTTCTGCCCATGGATGGTCCTGTTTCCGTGTTAGGAAGCCCCATGACATGCGTTTTTCTCTGCTAACATTTGCAGCCTATAGAGATGTGTGTGTGGTGTTTATTCTTATTACATCGTGCGGTGATTCACAAGCTTAAGCAGTGACATTCAGCTTCAGCTCAACCTTGCTGGAAACCACAGTGTTTTTTATTTATTTTCTTTAATGTTAGGGAAAAGAATGTATTTTGTGCGTTTCGTGATTAATTTATGACTTTAACAGAAAGATCTATATTCTAAGTGATGAGTATCGTATGAGGTGTCTCATGTGACACCCACAGAGTAGGAGAAGAAAGGGCTGTGTCCGCCGGAAGATGCTGCCCTGTGTGTGTTTGAAATTCCATTCTGCACAGTTAGAGCTGCTGCTGGAAGTTGGTGTTGACTCCCAAGAGGGAATATTAGAATTTGACCAAGTGTTCCCTGCAAAACTCAGCATATATTCCTGGAAGCAATTTATATTGGAAACACTGTAGTACCATGTCTTGGCTTTTTGTTTTGTTTTTTAATTTTTTTTTTCTGATTCCTGTTTTTTTTTTTTTTTAAAGGGAGGTTGCAATTTTAATTTATTTATTTATTATTTATTTATGGCTGTGTTGGGTCTTCGTTTCTGTGCGTGGGCTTTCTCTAGTTGTGGCAAGCGGGGCCCACTCTTCATCGCGGTGCGCGGGTGCGCGGGCCTCTCACTATCGTGGTCTCTCCCGTTGCGCAGCACAGGCTCCAAACGCGCAGGCTCAGTAATTGTGGCTCATGGGCCCAGTTGCTCCGCGGCACGTGGGATCTTCCCAGACCAGGGCTCGAACCTGTGTCCCCCGCATTGGCAGGCAGATTCTCAACCACTGCACCACCAGGGAAGCCCTGTTTTTTGTTTTCTTAAAGCCACACATTTAGCAGCCAAGAATAATGCATTTCAGGGTAGAAACATTTACCAGTGAGCCAGAAATCTGATCAAGAAGAATTCTGGGAAGGGTAAGCTGGGATGAAGTGAGAGAGTGGCATGGACATATATACACTACCAAACGTAAAACAGCTAGCTAGTGGGAAGCAGCCGCATAGCACAGGGAAATCAGCTCGGTGCTTTGTGACCACCTAGAGGGGTGTGATAGGGAGGGTGGGAGGGAGGGAGATGCAAGAGGGAAGAGATGTGGGAACATATGTATATGTATAACTGATTCACTTTGTTATAAAGCAGAAACTAACACAACATTATAAAGCAATTACACTCCAATAAAGATGTTAAAAAAAAAAGAGGAATTCTGATTCCTGAAAATAGCTCTTCCTCCTCCTTTTTTTTTTTTAATGCTGAATCAAGAATAACGAGCCCAGTTGATGTCCCTGGAGCCCGACTGATGTCCCTGCAGCATAATTTGGTCGCGGTGGCTGGTGGTGGGGTCCGAATCTGACACCATAATTTACATATGGAAAGAAAGAGGAATGCCAGGAAGGGAGAGGTGATTTACAAACAGAATAATAGTTACTCAGATGCACGGCTGTGTGCCTGAAAGAGATGTTAACAACTCTATAACGTGGGTGTTTGAATGAGGACCTGAATGTGAAGAAATGCTGAGCAAGTCTTTCCTTTGGGAGAAGAATCCTACATTTGATGTCTTTAATCTCAGAATAAGAACAAATTTGGAGGAAATTTTGGTTTCCCATATTATGCCTGATCAGTTGAGTTATCATAAAAACTTTGTTCCATTTCTTATAATAGGAAAAGACTATTGCATAATGCATATGGAATTCGAATATTGCTTTGTGAGAAGCGTTCTGTTTCTTTTCAGAACAGTCTTACTACTTTTTTATGGCAGGCAAACAATTTAACTCCTGTAAGTTCTTGCCTATAAAATGTTGGCATTGACATATACGTGATATGATCTTTGTTGCTTTCTATGGTACATTCAATTTGTCCCCAAGTTGCTTTCAACTTGTTCTGGTCCAGTGAAACCAAAACATGTAGAGGATAAACTATATTTTTCCCCGCTTTAACTACAGAGTAGCTTCAGTGTACGTGCACCTGTGTTTCGTATTTTAGACCCTTGAGGTGGCCTGTGGCTGTGTTGTTAGCGCTGCTGGTTTTACTCTTTAGTTTCCTAAGTTTATTTTGTGAAATGAAATATTAAAAAAAATTTAAGGCATCGTTTACATGTTGACAGGCCTTCGCTCAATCCTTTTCATAGTTTTGAAGGGAGAGAAAATCAGTAGAGATTGAGCAATATAAACTGACTTTTGAAGTTGTGTAAATTAGTATTTCAAGGAAAATGGTACGTTTCAGAAAGTGCAGTAAAAGTATTTTTTAAAAAGTGTCAGAAGGAGCCCCCAGTCTTATTCTCCAAGGAGGTGGTTGACAGAGAGATGGGATAAAATGGAATATGGTCTGGCTTAGCAAACCCCCGTTTTACCCTGTGAAATGGTCAGGTTGAACCAGTTAGCATTTTAAAGAGAATTGCTATAGAATGCAGTGCTTTGAGATGGCAGAGAAGTGTTTGGAGTATGTGTCTGCGCGCGCGCGCGTGTGTGTGTGTGTGTGTGTGTGTTGCCAGGGGGTGATAATCATGGTGAAGAGTAGAAGACTGTGTTTATTGTCATGCCTTCTTGCCACTACTGGATGGTAAACTCTTTGGGGGCAGGATGAACATCTTTACATGGAATCAGTACTCAAGACTGTTGAATGAATGAACAGAGAGAAATCTTAAAAAGTGTTTTTTCAGTTAAGTGGAAGGAAAAGATTTCTTAGAAATAAATTTCATCTGAACATTTGTTTAGATACCAGGCTTAGGTCTCATTTATTTTACGAACAATTGAAATCTTGTCGAGACAGCTGGAAAACCCGACAGCCATTCTCTGGCGAAGGGCCTTGTCTTGGAGCTGTTTCTGCAGGTTCAGTTAGAAACCCATCTTTATCTCCCCACCTGCCATTTTCTCTTTACTCGTAGATGCTGATTTTTAGCTGAGCATCCTCTGGAGAAAGGCTGTTGTCTCTTTTGTGTTTGGAAATGAGGCTGCTGGATATATATGTTAGGGGGGCACTTTTTCTCAGGGCTGGGAAGATTTGTATTTTTACATAGTGTGTACATTGCAAATAAAGACTATTACCTTTTACTTCCTATATGCTTCCAAGTAATCAGGTATGCCATGTTTTCCCAAATTAGTACTTTCCAAAAGACCATTAGATGAAACTAGCTTTGGTCAGCATTACTGAGTGATCTGTGACAAATCACTTACATATGTAACTACGGTTGACATTCGTATGTCTGGTGTAGTTTGAAAAATTAGGTGAATTTTCAGAGTTTGTGACTTGAAAGTATTTTGAGGGGAATATGTGCTTTGAAAGGGAAATGAACTATTTTTGATAATACTTGGTAATGTAGTGATTCTTTGGACCTGCTCAAATGCTGATATAAAACCAGATGGTAATACATCTTGAATATTTCAGAGAGAGCTCTAGCTTGGCTTTAAAATTACTTCTGTTTATAATCGGTAGGCAGCATGGAAAATGGCAATCCTGTTATGAACAAACCTTAAAAAAAATCTGTTTTAATAATGAGGCTAGAAAGAGAACAGAAGTTCTGTTTCAAAATTCAGAGTTTTGACATCATTGATGTCTTTGTTAGAATGATTTAGGAAAATGCATTCTAACTCTTTCTGAGCTTTGAATGAGTGCAAGTTAATTTTTAGGCACTCAATACATGTTCTGTGAGAAATGAAGATATATTTGAAACATTCTCAGGGGAAAACTTTTCCTAAGATACACAGTTCTACTTAAAAAAAAAAAAGTACTCCAAACCAAGATCTTCTCAGAAAAAAGCTCACTCAAAAATTTTGTCAATCAGTAGATTTAAGAATTAGAAAATTTTCTGGGGCTTCCCTGGTGGCGCAGTGGTTGAGAGTCCGCCTGCCGATGCAGGGGACACGGGTTCGTGCCCCGGTCCGGGAAGATCCCACATGCTGCGGACCGGCTGGGCCCGTGAGCCGTGGCCTCTGAGCCTGCGCGTCCGGAGCCTGTGCTCCGCAACGGGAGAGGCCACAGCAGTGAGAGGCCCACGTACCGCAAAAAAAAAAAAAAAAAAAAAGAATTAGAAAATTTTCTGAAAGGAGTGATTTTATATTTGGGAGTTTTAAAGTAATATATCTGGTTTTCATATAAACTGTTGACCCTTAAAAATGGTAGAATAAGTGTACTTATTCTTTTTATTTTTAATTTGTGAGTCCAAGAGTTGAAAGATAAGTGAAATGAAATGACAGATTCTTCTATAAACTCAGCAAAATATGTCTGGGAACTTTTTTAGGTATCTCTCAAGTGACACATTTGTGAGGTGGGAAAGAAGATAGAAGATCCTCCAGTGGCTTTCTGGTGCCCTAAGAGTAACGTCTAAATAGTTACAGTGGTGGGACTTCCCTGGCGGTCCAGTGGTTAAGACTCTGCTTCCAGTG